ACAGGGTTTCTTCATGTTGACCAGGCTGATAGAATGATTTCTTTCCTGAATGTGCCATGCTCTGGACTGCCTCCCAGCCTTGACACACACCTCTGCCTGGAATACATTTGCCCCCATGCTTGACCTGGCTAACTCCTCCTCATCTTTCAGGTTTCAGCTGAGACAGCTCCTCTTCTGGGAAGTGAGGTGTTAATCTTTGTTTCCTCCTGCCTCATAGGACCCTGAGTTCCCATGGCTTTCTGACCATCCCCTGTCCCCATGTCAGTTTCCCTGGATGAGGATTGTCTGTATATTTGTCTATCTTCTCTATGAGGCTGTGAAGTCACAGCTCATTGACCTTGGTCCTGGTTGTATCCCACAATCTATAGTCGATATTCAGTCAATATTTACTGAATGACTGGGTGACTGGTACAAAAGCCTCCCCACTCTGGACAAAGCAGGGCTCAACACTGTCCATCATTTTCCTCTGAAATTGGCTTGAACTCCAGCCTCATCCTCACCTGCCTTCAGCAAGTTCTTCTGGAGGCAGGCAGGGCTGGGGTTGAGCAAGCACCGTGGGAAGAGAGCACAGGAGACAGGACTCAGCAGGCTCCTTGGCCAGAGTGTCCCCCTCCCTTCACTGCAGGCCGCCTGTGCCCAGGTCATGGACACCCTCTTGCTAAACTCACTGACTGTCACACTGCACAGCGTCTCCCTTAGTCCTGCCTCCTTTCTTATCCTGGAGAGACATGAAGGAAACCTAATGGTTGCCTTTACTTTAGAAATATTGGCCGGGTGCAGTGGCTCACGCCTGTAATCCCAGCACTTTGGGAGGCTGAGGCGGGCAGATCACTTGAGGTCAGGAGTTCGAGACCAGCCTGGCCAACATGGTAAAACCCTGTCTCCACTAAAAATACAAAAATTAGCCAGGCATGGTGGTGTGCACCTGTAATCCCCGCTACTTGGGAGGCTGAGGCTTAAACCTGGGAGGTGGAAGTTGCAGTGAGCCAAGATCATGCCACTGCATTCCAGCCTGGGCAACAGAGCGAGACTCTGTCAAAAAAAAAAAAAAAAAAAAAAAGAAAGAAAGAAATATATTATTTTGCTGGGCACGGTCTATAGCTCACACCTGTAATCCCAGCACTTTGGGAGGCCAAGGTAGGAGGATGGCTTGAGGCCAGAAGTTTGAAACCAGCCTGGGCACCATAGTGAGACCCATCTCTACAAAAAAATAAAAAAATAAAGACAGATTAGCCAGGCGTGGTGGTGCATACCTATAGTCCCAGCTACTTGGGAGGCTAAAGTGGGAGGATCACCTGAGCTGAAGTGTTCAAGCTGTTGGGAGCTATGATCTTGCCACTGCACTCCAGCCTGGGCAACAGAGTGAGACCCTGTCTCAAAAAAAAAAAAAAAAAAAAAAAAAAAAAAAAAAAAAAAGAAAGAAAAAGAAAGAAAGAAAAGAAAAGACCAAAATTTGGCCAGGCGCAGTGGCTCATGCCTATAATCCCAGCAATTTGGGAGGCCGAGGCAAGCGGATCAGCTGAGGTCAGGAGTTCGAGACCAACCTGGCCAACATGGTGAAACCCCGTCTCTACAAAAATACAAAAAAACTAGCCGGGCATGATGGTGGGTGCCTGTAATCCCAGCTACTCAGGAGGCTGACGCGGGAGAATCACTTGAACCCGAGAGGCGGAGGTTGCGGTGAGCCTCAATCGAGCAATTGCACTCCAGCCTGGGCGACAGAGCGAGATTCCGTTTCAAAACAAACAAACAAACAAACAAACAAAAAAAGACTAAAATTTATTATTTTAATGTATTCTTTGGAACAGGTAACCTATGCATGTGGCACAAAATTCCAAAGATGCAAAAGGATGTACGTTGAAAAGTCTTTCCTCTTCCTGCCCTGTCTCCCCAGAGGTCACCATAGTTATATTTTCTTTTGTGTATTTATTATTACTTTTTATTATTTTTATTTTTTCACTCTCTCAGCTTGTCAAGAGACACAGTTACCATTTTCTTGTGCAGGCCTCCAGAAACAATATATGAACAACTAAGCAAATACGGCTAAACTCTTTCCCTCTCAAACGGCAGTATTCCAACCATGCTTCTCTGCACTTGCTTTTCTTTTTTGATTTCTTTTTTCTCTTTTCTTCCGAGATGGAGTCTTGCTCTGTCGCCCAGGCTGGAGTGCAGTGGCATGATCTTGGCTCACTGCAAGCTCCGCCTCCCGGGTTCACGCCATTCTCCTGCCTCAGCCTCCCGAGTAGCTGGGAACAGGTGCCTGCTGCCATGCCCAGCTACTTTTTTGTATTTTTAGTAGAGACGGGGTTTCACCGTGTTAACCAGGATGGTCTTGATCTCCTGACCTCGTGATCCACCAGCTTCGGCCTCCCAAAGTGCTAGGATTACAGGTGTGAGCCACCACGCCCAGCCTGCACTTTGCTTTTCTAAGTTAAAATGAAACTGTGAAATGATTCCAGGGCCAGGCACAGAGGCTCACACCTGTAATCCCAGGACTTTGGGAGGCCGAGGCGGGAGGATTGCTTGAGTCCAGAAATTTGAGACCAGCTTGGGCAAAGTAGTGAGACCTTGGAGACCTTGTATGTTTTAAAAAAAAGATGATTCTAAACAAGAGCCAAACAGCCTCTTGTGGCTGCACACTATTTCACTGTATGGAATTACATCATGACTGATTTAACTGGTCCCCTACTTCTGGGTATCTCAGTTGTTTCCAATCTTCTGGAACATGTTACATTTAAGAATCTTGAACTTCGTGGCAGGGCGCGGTGGCTCACGGCTGTAATCCCAGGACTTTGGGAGGCTGAAGCAGACGGATCATGAGGTCAGGAGTTCAAGACAAGTGTGGCTAAGATGGTGAAATGCTGTGTCTACTAAAAATACAAAAATTTAGCCAGGTATGGTGGCGCGCGCCCCTGTAATCCCAGCTACTTGGGAAGCTGAGGTAGGAGAATTGCTTGAACCCGGGAGGTGGAGGTTGCGGTGAGCCAAGATTGTGCCTTTGCACTCCAGCCTGGGCAACAAGGGCGAAACTCTGTCTCAAAAAAAAAAAAAAGAATTTGAACTTCTATTATTTGGCTCATGGGTCAGCATATCTATAAGATAAAATTCTAAAAGTGGAATTTCTGGGTCTAAGGATATGTGTGTGTGTGTATATATATATATATACACACTTTTTTTTTTTTTTTTTTTTGAGACAGGGTCTCACTGTTACCCAGGCTGGAGTGCAGTGGAGTGATTGTATCTTACTACAGACTTGACCTCCTGGGCTCAAGAGATCCTCCCACCATCACGAGGTCAGGAGGAGATCAAGACCATCCTGGCTAACAAGGTGAAACTGCATCTCTACTAAAAATACAAAAAAATTAGCTGGGCATGGTGGTGGGCACCTGTAGTCTCAGCTACTTGGGAGGCTGAGGCAGGAGAATGGTGTGAACCCAGGAGGTGGAGCTTGCAGTGAGCCGAGATCATGCCACTGCACTCCAGCCTGGGTGACAGAGCAAGACTCCATCTCAAAAAAAAAAAAAAAAAAAAAAAAAGAGAGAGATCCTCCCACCTCAGCCTCTTCAGTAGCTGGGACCACAGGCACACACCACTATGCCTGGCTTTTTTTTTTTTTTTTTTTTTTTTTTTTAGAGACAGGGCCTCACCATGTTGCCCAGGCTGGTCTTGAACTTCTGAGCTCAAGGGATCAGCCCACCTCAGCCTCCCAAAGTGCTGGGATTACAGGTGTGAGCCACCACCACCGGCCCAGACACTTTGATTTTGCCCATTTTATGGGTAATAAGTGATTTCTCAGGGTTTTTTGTTTGTTTTGAGACTGAGTTTTGCTCTTATAGCCCAGGTTGGAGTACAGTGGTATGATCTCAGCTCACTGGAACCTCCACCTCCCGGGTTCAAGTGATCTTCCTGCCTCAGTCTCCCAAGGCACATGCCACCAAGCTCGGCTAATTTTTTGTATTTTTAGCAGAGATGGGGTTTCACCATGTTGGCCAGGCTGGTCTCAAACTCCTGACCTCAGGTGATCCACCCGCCTCGGCCTCCCAAAGCGTTGGGATTATAGGTGTGTGCCTCACTCCCTCAGTGTTGTTGACTTTACATTTCTCTTACTTTTTATTTTATTATTATTTTTTTATTTTTAAGAGACTGTGTCTCACCATGTTGCCCAGTCTGGCTTCACTCAAGCGATCCTCTGGCGGCAGTCCCTGGAGTAGCTGGGATTACAGGCATCTGCCACCAGGCTGGACTCCATTTCTCTGACTTAAAAAAAAAAAAAAATTGCAGTGAAATACACACATCGATATGTACCATCTTTACCATTTTTAAGGGTAAGATTAGGTGGTGTTCGGTATGTTCACTTTGTCGTGCAACCATATTTCTCTTTTAAATAACAGCACTTAGAGATGCCAACTTCGTGCCAGGCCCAGTTTGGGACACTAGGAACTCCCAGATGAATCAGCCGCTCCAGTGGAACTCCCTGCTGGTGGGGGAGGCACTGGCGAAACGGTGCTGAGCGGAGTCCTGACGGCGCTGGAGCTGAGGGGCAGTGTGGGATGCCCCAGGAAGGTTCCTAGGAAGAGGGGACCCAGGGTGACTCCCTAAGGAAACGCCGGTCCCAGGTAGAGGAGCGCATGTGAGCCAAGATCCTTAGGACTGAGCCGTCTAGGTGTGTCCCGGGAACTGCAGGAAACGGTTGGGTGAGTCAGTGGTGGGCAGCGGGGGTGATAAGCCCTTTCGTGTTTTCGGGATGGTAAGTTTGGGTCACAGGTGAGTGAAGACCGAAGGCCAGGGGTGGACTGACACTTCGTGGTAGGCGCAGGGCAGGGCAGGGGGGCGGCTTGGGGGTGGCAGGGTTTGGGTGAGAAATGGCAGCACATGGGGAACGAACGCAGGGCTCGGGGGCCTTCAGAGCTAAGCCCCGACGCCCCTTCCCACCTGCGGGGCAGAACTGGAGACGGCAGGGGGAAAGGTGAGGGAGGGTGGTTCCTAAAGGAGATGCCATCCCTGGTCAGGGGACACGGGCCCCTGGGACTTGGGTTGGGCCACAAGGAGAGAGGCCTGAATGGCCAAAGGGAGGAGGTGTGCGGGAAGCCGCAGCGTCAGACCTCTGCCTCCTCCCTCAGATCGTGAGGCTCCCCAGCCTGGCTCGGGGGACCCCGAGATCCCCGGCCGGCGACAGCAGGCGGATCAGACCCCCTGCTCCTGTCCGCCTCTGGGTCCCTACAGACATGGGGAGGGGAGGACGGAGGCCCCAGCTCCCTGCGGGGGAAGGGCGTGAAGACGCGCGAGGTTCGGGGGAGATGAGCTGGCGTCGCCATGACAACGAGGCTGGTGGTCCGGCCCTGGGGACCCGGGAGGGAAGGAGGAGTAGTGGCCACACGCGCTGGCGGGGGCGGGGGCCCGGGTCTCCCAGGAGTACTTGGGGAACACCCGGCAATTCTGGCGGCTGCTTGCTGGTGGCGCAGGGAGCCCGCGTGTTTGCGAGTGCGTGTGCGTGCGAAGTTCTCCGGGTAAGTGTGCCAGCGCGCGCCTGGGGGTGTGCAAGGGTGTGAGCGTACACACGTGGGCACGGGCGTGTGCGCGCAGGGGTGCCCGGCTGGATGTGTGCACACGAGTGTTTTCCGGCCCGCGTGCCCCTGCGTAAGTGTGCGCGCGCGGGCACACGTGTCTGTGTGTGCGCTCGCGTGCGCTCCCGAGCGGGCCCCGGGTGGGAGTCCGAGATCCCGCCCCCTCCCCAGCCCCGGCGCCCCTCCCCGCCCCCCCCTCCCCCCCACGCTGCCGGCGCCGGCTGCATCCTCGCCTCCACCTCGCTCACCCCCTCCTCCCCGCACTTTCTCGGCGCTCCCTCCCTCTCGGCTCGCACAGCCGGACTCCGCGCTCTCCTCGCCGGCCGCTGCCGCCCAGCCTGCACCCGCCGTCCCCCCATTGCCTGGGCACCTGTTGGAGGCAGAGGCAGGTGCAGGGGGCTGGGCAGGCTGGGGGCGTGAGGGTGCTGGGGAGAGTGCCAGCCTGTGTGCGCTACGGGGGTGTTCGGCTCTCCTGCGGCTGCAATTTCTGGCTCCCCTGGGGAGCCAGGGGTGGCATCTGAGGCTGGGGTCTCCACCGGGGGCTGTGGTGAGCGAGCGGGGGAACCAGGCAGGCAGACAGGTCCTGGGGCTGAATGAAGGGACAGTGGGCAGTGGGAGCCTAGAGGGGTGGGTGACACCTTGACTAGACCAGCGCCTGGTGCAGAGGAGGACAGAGCCTCCGAGAAACAGAGGCGGGGCCCTGCAGGGTCCCTTGGGGAACAGGCAGGCTCAGGAGCAGAGCAGAGGGGAGCCCTGGAGGAGAGGAAGGAGCTGGCAAGATGATACAGGGACAACCTGGAGGTGGGTGGGTGAGGACAGGGTGGTGCAACTTCGACTTCTGCGGGGAGTGGGTTGGCAGCCCAGCCCCTGTGGAGCCAGCGTGGGGTCTGCAGGGCCCAGGCCTCCTGCCTGCCACCAACTGGCACAGGCCACCCTCTCCCTCGACACCTAGGAAGGGAGGCTAGTGAGGGCCCTGCAGACCGAGGAGGCTGTCGCCTGGCCCTCAGCCAGAGTGGCTAGGTATGATGGGCTCATTGGCTCACATGCCCTCTCCCAGCCAGGGGTGCTGCATGAGGGGCCGCAGGGGCGACCGCATGACCATCAACATCCAGGAGCACATGGCCATCAACGTGTGCCCCGGGCCAATCCGGCCCATCCGCCAGATCTCTGACTACTTCCCCCGCCGGGGACCCGGACCTGAAGGGGGCGGCGGCGGCGGCGAGGCCCCCACCCATCTGGCCCCCCTGGCTCTGGCCCCCCCTGCAGCCCTCCTTGGGGCCACCACGCCTGAGGATGGTGCGGAAGTGGACAGCTATGACTCGGATGATGCCAGTGAGTCTGGGGGCTTGGAGGCCCCATGCGCTGGTGGGGGTCTCCAGGCTTGCCATCCCGGGGGAGGGGAACGGGCCCTGCTGGCTGTGCATGTAGGTAGGGGAGGAGGGCAGTGGGGGGGGGGAGGTGGCAGGGATGGCTGCCACAGCTGCAGTCGGTGTGGAGATTACAGCTTCAGCAAGGCTCAATATTCAGTATTTCTGCTGAGACACTCCACCACCCACACAGCCCCAGTTGCAGCCGAGCCAGGGACCCAGACGCACACACGCACGGGCCCACTCAGCCTCTTGCACTCACACTCGCCGGCTGGCAAGAGAGAGAGAGACACACACACACAGCCAGTGCCCACCTGCTGGCCTCTCTCACACACCTGTCTCCAAACCGATCCATGCTGCCTTTCCTCTCTCTCCAGCCGCCCTGGGCATGCTGGAGTTTGACCTTCTCTATGACCGGGCCTCCTGCACTCTGCATTGTAGCATCCTCAGGGCCAAGGTGGGCACTCCCTGCTGCCCCAGCCCGGGCGGTTTGCGTGCAGCCCCCAGAGGGGGCCCATTCCTCCTTCCCTTCCCAGGCCTGCTCCTTCCTCCTGCCCTTGCAACCCCCTTCTGGGCTCCTCCAGGGTCCAGCTCTACAAGAGGGAGAAAGGTGCCGGGAGCCTCCAGCCCTCTCCCCTGCCCTCCTCTCCAGGGCCTCAAGCCCATGGATTTCAATGGCCTCGCCGACCCCTACGTCAAGCTGCACCTGCTGCCTGGAGCCTGTAAGGTAACAGCCTCCTCTCGCCCTGCTCGGCCCAGCCCGTGCCTCCGGCCCGTGGGGCTGGAGGACAGGTATTGAGAACCTTTCATCCCCACACCCCAGGCTAATAAGCTAAAAACGAAGACTCAGAGGAACACACTGAATCCCGTGTGGAATGAGGACCTGACGTACAGTGGGATCACGGATGATGACATCACGCACAAGGTGCTCAGGTGAGGGCTCCCCTCCCCACCACCCAGGTCCAGCAGCAGCTCAGGGACAGCTGACATTGTAACTGCTGGTTGGTTGATCTATGTCCCATTAAGTCTGTACCTCTCTGATGCTCAAGAACCATCAGCGGCTCCCTAGCCCCTTTGGCAGCAGGCCAAAATACTTCCCTGCCATTCCTGCCCCCCAATATCTCCTTCCAGCCAAGTGTGGTGGCTCACGCCTGTAATCCCAGCACTTTGGGAGGCCAAGGTGGGCGGATCACTTGAGGTCAGGAGTTTGAGACCAGCCTGGCCAACTTGGTGAAACCCCATCTGTACTAAAAATACAAAAATTAGCTGTGCATGGTGGCGTGCGCCTGTAAATCCCAGCTACTTGGGAGGCTGAGGCAGGAGGATCGCTTGAACCCAAGAGACAGAGGTTGCAGTGAGCCGAGATTGCACCACTGCACTCCAGTCTGGGTGATAGAGGGAGACTCTGTCTCAAAAACAAAAATATCTCCTGCCCCTCAAACAGAGGACTCCCTTCTTCCAACTGGCCAGTTCCACAACTCCTGAACTTGTTTTCTATCTGGAAAGCTCCTTCCTGCCAGCCTAAATTCCGCTCATCTGAGGCTCAGTCCAAGCTCTGCCCCCTCCCAAAAGCGTTCCTGGGTTACCGAGACTCCTTCTCAGAGCCCTTGGCTGAAGTCAGACCTCTGCAGCTTTGGTCTGCCCCTTCCATGCCTTGAGTTCCCCTAAAATCTCTTAAGGAGTGAAGTCTTCAGGGACAGGGAACTTGCTCCGTCATCCCAGGAGATGATGTGAGGAGAGTATTCCCTCAAGTCAGGTGGCGGGCAGTAGGACCCAGGCTCCGGAGAGACCTCTGCCTTTGTGCTTGGATTTGCATTTGGGACCTTCCCTGGTCAGGGCCGTGTGGCAGGGAGGCCACCTTGGTGTCGGGTGTGCGGGTGGAATGGAGGGGAGGCCAAGAGGCCAAAACCAGAATGAGACCTAAAAATGAGGGCTCACCAGGGCCCAGCCTGGGCTTAGTATTTTCACATTTCTTTCTTTCCCTTGACCATCTCCATTTACAGATGGGAATTGAGGCATAGGGTGATCAAGTGACTTGCCCAAGGTCACACAGGTGGCTCAGAAGTTGCAGGGTTGGGATCTGCCCATCCTCCATGCCACAGATGCCCAACCTGGTAGTGGGTCACTGCAGAGGCAGGGCAGGGGCTGCCGGAGGACAGGTGGCCGGAGAGCAATCATTTCTTAGTGAGTCCCTGTGGAGCTGGCTCTCTGCTGCATGCAGGAAAAGAACAGGGTTCCCGAGGAGGCATGGGGTCCTCGTCTGGCTGTCCAAGGCTCTCACGGCCTGTGTCTATGGCCACATCCACTGTGGTGTTTGGCTTCTGCCCCCAGGCCCTGAATGGAGGCAGTGATCAGGGTGCTCCAAGATTTCTGAGGGCTTCCCACAATGGCCGAGCATGTTCTGATGGACCAGGGACAGCCGGTTGGCTGCACAGGGAGGGAGAGGAATGGGCAAATCCGCTTGTCCTTCTCAAGCGCCAGCCTGTCTTCCAGATGAGACGTAGTGTGTAGGGCAGAGCTGGGCTGGTTCAAGGCCCTTCCTACACCCCAGAACAGGGCTCAGGTACCCCAGGGGCCCTGACGCTGCAGTTCCCCACCAGGATTGCTGTCTGTGATGAGGACAAGCTGAGTCACAATGAGTTTATTGGGGAGATCCGTGTGCCCCTCCGCCGCCTGAAGCCTTCGCAGAAGAAACATTTTAACATCTGCCTCGAGCGCCAGGTCCCGGTGTGTGCGGGGGGCTGCAGGGGCACCGGGGGAGGGGGCCCTGGGGAGGCCAGGCCTCCAGAACCTTCTGTTTGCCCCCTCAGCTGGCATCCCCCTCTTCCATGTCGGCGGCGCTGAGGGGCATCTCCTGTTACCTGAAGGAGGTGAGGCATCTCACAGGGATGGGGATGCACGTGGGTGGGAGGCGGCAGGGGCCCAGGCTGACCCTGCGTCTGTGCCCCGCAGTTGGAGCAGGCGGAACAGGGCCCGGGGCTGCTGGAGGAGCGCGGCCGCATCCTGCTGAGTCTCAGCTACAGCTCGCGGCGCCGGGGACTGCTGGTAGGCATCTTGCGCTGCGCCCATCTGGCTGCCATGGACGTCAACGGTTACTCGGACCCCTACGTCAAGACGTGAGCCCTCGCCCTGACCCTCTCCTCCCCAGGGAGCCTGCCCTGGCCCGAGTTGGGCCTGGCCTGTCCCTGACCCCTCAGTTCCTCTCCCTCCACCCCACCTCTAGGTACCTGAGGCCTGATGTGGACAAGAAATCCAAGCATAAGACATGCGTGAAGAAGAAGACTCTCAACCCAGAATTTAACGAGGTACCCAGGTGGGGATGGGATGCAGAGGGAGGCCAAGGAGGGGCTGGGGAGCCGGCTCACGAATGGGTGGCTGGCCTTGTTCTCAGGAGTTTTTCTACGAGATAGAGCTCTCCACTCTGGCCACCAAGACCCTGGAAGTCACCGTCTGGGACTATGACATTGGCAAATCCAATGACTTCATCGGTGAGGGAGGAGCTGGCTGAGGGTGCTGAGGGAGGGTGAGTGGCAGGGAGGTGGCCCTGACCCTGCCACTTGCTCCCCCAGGTGGCGTGTCCCTGGGGTCAGGTGCCCGAGGCGAGGCTCGGAAGCACTGGAGTGACTGCCTGCAGCAGCCAGACGCAGCCCTGGAGCGCTGGCACGCCCTGACCAGCGAGCTGCCCCCCGCGGCTGGGGCTCTGTCCTCAGCCTGAGTGGACAGCAGTGTCCTGGTACAGGCCTATCGGGCCGGGTGCAGTACCCAACCTTCGCACGAGTGTGTTGCACGTTTACACGGGGTGGGCTGCCCCCACCCTGCACTACCTTATTTTTGTGAATCTCTGTGACCTGGGTCTGTCTGCTCGTGAGGGGCTGTGGAGTTCTATATTCATATATGCAAACCTCCTGCCTGACTCGCTAGTCCCTGCAAATATGCAAAGCCCCCCTCCTCTGCACACCCGGGCAGTGCTCAGAGCCCGGCCCCAGGCCCCCACGCTCCTCGCTCCTGCCTCTCCACGCTGCCCCGTCCCTCTCCCCCCACAGGGAGGAGGTCGGATTAGGGGAGGTTCAGAGGAGGAGAATGCCTCAGAAAAAGAAAAAAGGACAAAAAACACACCCAGAGCCACTCCTTTAATACAGAAACTTCATTGCAAAAACCTAGCCCTGTACAGCTGCCCTTTTAAAGGGGTGGCCATCGCAGGGTCTCTGCCTCCCCAGCAGGGGGCAGATGCTCCCGGCCACTCGTTTAAATAACTGTCCCCTGGAGGGGGCCAGAGTTTGAAGGCAGGGCCCTTGCCACCCTCCTGGGGAACACCCGTGCATGTTTACGCCTTTTCTGGTTGTGTCAGTGGCCGGAGCATGGCAGCTGGGCATCAATAAACACCTCTGAGGAAGCTGGGCTTGTGTGTGCTGGCACGGGGAGGGCGCCGGGCAGGGCTGTGGTGGGCATGGCATGATGTCGTGGTCACTCTGGGATGTCGATCACCAGGTCATCGTCCCCATCCAGGGCATCGTCCCCGCTACCTGCGTCGCTGAACATCTGCCGAGGGACCGTGCTCAGGATCGTGGGGGGGGGCATCTTGGGGGGTGGGAGGGGGTCAGGGCTGTCCCGACCCCAGCCCCAGAACCCCGGCCAGGGAAGGTCAGCGGTCCTCCCACAGGGCAGTCAGGGGGCCCCACCGCCATCTGCAGCAGGGGAAGAAACACAGGGGGACTAGTCAGGGAGGCACTGGGGCCTCAGGAGACCGGGCCCTGCCCCCCAGGGCAGCTCTGGGGACGGGGAAGGGGCCCTGGGCACAGCCAGGCCAACCTATGCTGCACTCAGGGCCTGCCCGCCCCCAGCCCCTCGAGAGCCTCAAACCAGCAAGTGCCTGGGGGTGGTGATGGAGGTGAGATGAGGGAATGGGGTGCCTCATAGGAAACTGGGAGGGAAAGGCCCGGCCCTGCCCTCTCCAGGGAGGTGCCTGGGCTGCCCCGAGACAGGGGTTAAGCCAGAGGTGGAGTCGGCCTGGACTGCTTGCCTGCCTGCCACTGGGCCCCGAAGGTGCCACCTGCCGCCACTGGCTTCCTCTCCCTCCTCCTCCTCTCCCTCTTCTGCGGAACTCACTGGTTCGGTGGAGGGTATTGCAGGCTGCCTGAGCCAAGAGCCCCAGTGGCTTCTCTGCCCCCCAGAAGCTTCTATCATGTCTTGGATGGGCCCCTCCTCGGTATCCCCGCAGCCGTGACCTAGGCCCAGCCCTCCTCTCAGCTCACCTGGGCTGCGGTCCCAGCCTCCTAACTGGACTCCCTGCCTGCAGCCTCTCCCAGATCCAGCTCCTCCGCACTGCAGCCAGAGCGCGCGCTCTAAAACACAGACCTGAGCGCGTCACCGCGCCACTCAGGGCCTCGGGACGGGAGTGCTGCCTGCCGGATGATAGGCGGCCCCTCCACCTGGGCATCCTGCTCTATTTGTCAGAAGTCCTGCTTCGTCCTCTGAGGCTGGGAAGCGGCCTCTGCCCTGCCCAACCCTTCAGCACCCCCAGCTGCCAGGTCCTCACAAACCCTCCCCAGAGAGCTCTGTGGGTCTCCTCCGCAGTCCCCATGCTTTGTCTGTGGGCACAAACTGGGCACGGGCTGTGTGCCAGGTGGTTTAATGCCCTCCCAGCCTCAGGACACTGGGCAGCGGAGACAGGTCACATGCCAGCGAAGGAGGCTGAACCTGGTGTGGACATGGAGGTCCTGAGGCACAGGCCCGCTGGGTCCTGCGGGGCAGTGGCAGTGTCCAGTCTGGCCCTGGGCTAGATGCTGGGTGGGCTGGCAGGAAACGCCATGCGCGGTCTCCAGTGGCCCTTCTGAGTGTCACATTTGGCCCTGTGGCCTCCTCTCTGCTTCCTAAGGAGCCCTCACCCTCATCTCCGCTGCTGGGGTGGCGTGAGGGCCAGGGTGGGTCAGGCCTCAGGGTATAGGAGACTGGTAGGATGGATAACAGACAGGGGGTCCAACTCTGAACAGCACCCCCGCGCCCTGCACCAGGCCCCCACATGTACACACGGGAGCAGACATGTGTGTATGACTGGAAAGCACCATCCCCTTCTCTGGCCACCCCCTCTCCTTCCCTGCTGCGCGCAGCATGTCCCACCCTGGCCTGGACTTCCTCAGTGGCATCCTCTCAGCCTGACTGGCAGCGACTCACGTTTCTCTGTGGCTTACTAGGAGCCAGGCATGGGCCAAGCAATTTTCATCCCTTCACTCACATTCTCCCCACAAGGACGCCACTGAACAGAGAAAGAGAGCTGTGGCTCCAAGCGTGAAATGACACGCTGAGGTCGCATGGTGAGTACTGGAAGAGCTGGGATTCAAAGCCGGCCAAGTCTGACTCAGGCCTGACAGAACCAACCTGCTTCTGTCTTCACAGTTATCCCTTCTCTGCTTGGACTCCCTTCCTTCCATCTCCTCGCTCCCCTGACAGTAACAGACAAACTCCCACTTCAGGTCAGTGTCCAGGCCTTCCATGATGCCGCCCCACCTGGTTCTTCTTGCCAATTTCTTACCACTCCTGCTCTGGCCCAGAGAGTGCTTTCACTGTGGCCCTGGCTCCCTTCCCACCATGGCTTCAGCCAGGAATATCCAATTCCACTCACCCTGGGCTCACACGTTCTCCTCGCTGAGGCCTTTCCTGGCTTCTCCCCACCTCCCCCGACAGCTATGGACCTGGGCTGCCCTCCCAAATCTTCTCTCCAGAATGTCTAGAACTTTGCTCCCAGACACAACTCCGCTTCAGGAGTCAGCACCAGGCCAGAAAGCCTCTAAGTGCCCCCCAGTGCTGCACCACTGCCCACCCTGCCCGCCATCCCCCTGCTAAGGACCAGGGCCAGTACTGTCACCTCTGCTACTCAGGCTCAGAGGTGAAGCCTCACAGGGCCAAGGTCACACGGAGAAAACGGCAGAGTTGGGATTGAAGCTCCAGATCCTGTACTCCAGACCACCGCAAATGCGGCCTCTCATTCTGCTTCTGGCTCCAGAACCCTGGGAGCCACCCAGCTGGTCCCCATTCCACTTTGCCCCTCAGCCCATCCCCATCTCTCCCAAGGCTCGCATCTACCACTAGCCTGGTAGCTTCCAAATGCGCAGCCCCTCATGGGCTGCTGTGTAGCTTCCTTTCCAGGTGGCACCTGACACATCCGCGGCCAGACTCAGCTTCCCTCCAAGCCTGTGCTCCCACAGCCCTCCCATCTCGAGGGAGGGAGACTCCACTCGTGCTCAGACTAAAGCCCTGGAGGCATCCTGGCCTCTCTCCCGCACAGCCCACACGGGGTCCTCCTGGAACTCCCACCCTCATTCTCCAAAATGGGTCTGCAGCCCCCTCTGGACCCTCTGCCCTCGGCCTGGTTTACCGTGGTGGCCTCCTCATTCCCATCCCAACTCACCCCACCGCTCACCTAGTCTGTTCTCTGACCACCAGTGTCTGCAATTTTGTTAAGATGCAATTAGATCACTCCCGCTTCATGCCTGCAACCTGTGCCCCGCCAGGGAACTGCCTCCTCCAAGGCTTCATTCACAGCGAATCCTGCACACTGGCGCCTCAGGAGCTCCCCTCTGACCTGCTCCAGGACCCACTTACTTTCCTTCCCGACACGGACTCCTTCCAGACCCTCCAACAAGCCCAGCTCACACCCTCCCAGGGTCTCTGCCTGACAGAAACACTGCCCAGGAGCCACACGGTTTGCTGCCACTTCCTGTATGTCTCTGCGCAAAGAACATGCCCGACTGCTGGGCCCTAAGTGTCAGCCTCGTCCCCCCGGCGTCCCCATGCTCTGGACCTCACTCTGTTCTTCTCCACAAGTACCTATTTTTCTAGTATGTTTTCTGCGTATCTTGCTAGAATGTGAGCTCTGTGAGGGCAGGCACTGGTCTGCTTTGTGCACTGCCGTGTAACAGGAGGTGCTCCAGGGGCGCTTGCTGGTCATATCGAGTAGGACCACTAGCACTATAGGTGCCAAGCCTAGGAAGCCTAGAGGGTAACAGAGACTTGCTGAAGGCTACGTGGTTTCTAATAGGCAGTCTTGACTTGACTAGATCCAGTAATCCTTCCCTGGTCTGGGGCTACCTGGCATCACAAAACACGCCCCACCCTGGGAAAATGAGCCTGGCCCCACTACACTGCAGCCGTGAAAGGGCGGGACCCCTGGCATCCGCACGCCAGGTCCCCCAAGGCTGGTTCTGCCCTGATTTGTCTCCATACAAGCCTGTGAGCTGAGATTTCTCTGATCCACCCCTCAGTGCTAAGTGCTGACTGGGTCCCCAAATTAATCGTTCATGATTCTCTGACAGGCCCCCGCCTTGAGCCTCCCTCAGGTGGCTCTCCTCCTGCCGTCCTGCCCCTCCCTAGCGCCCCCACGTCAGGGTACCTTGAGTTTCCGGGGCAGGCGGGGCCGTTTCTCCCGCTTGGGCCTCAGGGGGCTGGGCTCGGGCAGCTGCAGGGCCAGGTAGTCAGAAGGGAATGGGGGGTAGCGGGGGGAGGCCAGCTGCGGGCGGGAGCGGGGATGGAGATGGGAGGCGGAGTGGACCGGGGTGAGGGTGGGGAAAGAAATGCAAACAGGAGGAAGATGGAAAAACAAAAGAGATGGTGATGAGTGCAGCTCCCGGGGCTCCCGAACACAGAAGGGCCGGGCAGCAGCAGGATGCTGTCCTGGGCTTTGCTCTCCTCAGTCACGCCTGGCCCCGTTCCTATACCAGAGAGAAGGGGGCAGCCCCCACTCACACCCTCCATGGGACACTTGGGCCACACCCAGACAGATGTCCCCAAAGTTGGGCAGGCCTTGCCCGGAGGCCCAGCTCTTCTGCCCAAACGACGCCCACCTTACTCCCAGGCATATTAGTTCACCACTTCCCACCCCTGACCCCAACTCACCGAGCTCAGGTATGGGGAGGGAACCCCGGAGGCCTGAAGGGGAAACCCTGTTGAAGGAGGCAGGGAGAGGCTGGAGGGAGAGGGGGCCCCCCCCAGCGGAGGGCTTCTCTTCCTGGAGAAAGGACAGGGCGGGGTCAGAGGTGGCTGGGAGCCCAGGCGCCCCACCTGACCCTCCCCAGCGAGAGGAATGCATCTTCTTCTCACCTCTTAGGGGCCGGTGTGTCAGACAACTTGGGTGTCCCCTCGGTCTCGCTGTTATCTGATGATGCAGTGGCATCTGAGTCTGTGACGGGGACAGATGGTCAGTGGGGGTGGGGGATCCCAGTCCATCCCAGAAGGGTATAACCTCCTCCACACTACAGAAGGGCACCGGAGGACCAGGTGCAGGGGCTCATGCCCGGAATCCCAGCACTGTGAGAGGCTGAGGTGGCCAGATCGCTTGAGGCCAGGAGTTCAAGAGCAGCCTGGACAACCTAGCGAGACCTCAGCTCTATTAAAAACAAAAGCAATTACCCGAGCCTGGTGGCGTGTGCCTGTAGTCCCAGCTACTCAGGAGGCTGAGGCAGGAGAATTGCTTGGAGATTGAGGCTGCAGTGAGCTGTGATTGTAACACTGCACAACAGCCTGGGTGACAGAGCAAGACCCTGCCTCAAAAAAACAAAACAAACCAAAAACCCAATAGAAGGGCTCCCGGGGGGGATTCTGACACACCAGCTAGTGGGCACGCACATGCACCACACACCTGAGCTGTCTCAGGGAGGTCCACAGCCTCTCCAGCCTCCCCAGCGCCCCTCCCGCTCTGATTCCTCCGTAACACACCTGCCACGCATGGCCAGCGTGCCGGGCTCCTTCCCACTCACCACCTCTCCTTGCCATCAGATCCAAGGAAGGATGGGAAGGGCAGCACCTCCACTTGTCACATGAGGTCACCGAGGCTCAAAAAGTAAGGTGTGAGGCTGAGACTCTGACTCCTTGGCTATTTGATGCCACTGGTTCCTTGCCTCTGAGCTGAGCTGTCTTCAGCTCCTGCCTCTGCCCCACACCCCATAACCAGGGTCCTGTTCATGCACCCCTGAAGTCCTCCCCTTCATCCACTGCTCCCCACGCCAACTAACACAGGTCAGGCCACCAGCATGTCAAAATCACCTGCTAAGCAGTCTCACATCACCCTGCCATCCACTGTCCACCCCCAACCCCACAGTGAGCTAAAACAGACCTGGTCACATCCTTCTTGATGACATCCCCCACTACCTGCACGAATTCATGGTGCTGCTTAATCTGGCTTCAACACACCTTTCCGATCAACTAACGTAACTGTATTCTTTACAGCACACTGACCTATTTCGTCAAAAAAGAAATATATTTCCTATTCAGTGCCTCTGCCTAGAAGGGCCATCTTTCATGGAACAAATGACTGATACACCTATAGAAGCCATTACCAATGTCTCTGCTCAGAGAGACCTTTTAAGAAGCAGATCAAATGCCACCGCCTCTGGGAAGTCTTCCAGAATCTCTCAAGCCCAATTAACTGCAGGCTCTCCTGGAACCCTCTATTCTTACTCATCATGGCTGCGCTCACACTGTGCTGAAAAGTGTCATTTGCATGTGTCTCCCTGGCCAGGGTGTGGGCCTCCATGACAGGAGTGGGGCTCATATTGCTGGCCTTTGCTCCTCAGATGCAACCCACTCTAGCCATGAACATGCTGGGTCCTCTCCCACCTCCTGCCCTGAATTCCCCTCAAACAGGATGTTAACTGGAAGACCCTAGGGAAAGAAGAGGCAGGGGATGAGAGGCTGCAATAAAAGCCAAACCTCCTACTATGACCTACCTGAGTGAGCCCCTGCCTATTTCCCTAACCTTATCTACAATCCTCCTATAATAGCAAGCAAATGGGTATCATGCGTTCTGACAAAACACTACGTCCCAAAACGTGGCTGGCTGCTACATGCCGATCCCTGCCTCAGACCAATGTTTAAAGTCACCTTGGAGAGAGGTGATTCTACATGACATGGCTTATGAGGGCCCCACCCAGGAAGAGGCCCACAAATGCCCACCTTAGGGTTTTTTCAAACTGTGGGTCTCAATCCATTAGTGAGTCATGAAATCAATTTACTGGTGTGCAACCAGCACTAAAGGAAGGGAAAAAAAGCAATCTAAAAAGTATCAGGATGAATTGGATACAGTGATCTTAAAAATGTTTCACTAAACTTTGTTTTGTAGGTATGCATGTGGGGCTCCCGTTATGATGGAAAACATAGTTAATTGCAGACAATATTCAAATAAAGGGATGAAAACAGTGTTCTCTCTTTTTCATCCCTCTGCTTTTCAACCAAGCCTGGCCTGTTCTTACCTCAGGGTAGCTGCATTTATTATTCTGCTGGGGCAGCTCCAGCTCACTTCTTCACAAGGTTGGTTTTTCTTTTTTTTTGGACGGAATCTCACTGGGTTGCCCAGGCTGAAGTGCAGTGGCGCAATCTCGGCTCACTGCAAGCTCCGCCTCCCAGGTTCACGCCCATTCTCCTGCCTCAGCCTCCCGAGTAGCTAGGACTACAGGCGCCCGCCACCACGCCCAGCTAATTTTTTGTATTTTAAATAGAGACGGGATTTCACCATGTTAGCCAGGATGGGGTTTCTTTCTTTTTTTTTTGAGACAGTCTTGCTCTGTCACCCAGGCTGGAGCACAGTGGTGCTATCATGACTCACTGCAGCCTTGACCTTTCAGGCAAGGGATCCTCCTGGTTCTGCCTCCCAAGTAGCTGGGACCACATGTATACACAACTATACATGGCTTTTTTTTTTTTAAATTGAGATGGGGTCTCACTATGTTGCCCAGGATGGAAGCCTGGTTTCTTATCTGGTCCCAACTCAAACGTCACTCCGTGAAAAGCCTTTCTTGAGTACTCTATTCAGACGTTGCCTGCTGCCTGCTTGCTGCTGTCTGCAAGCTAAGAATGGCTTTTTTTTTTTTTCTTTTTTTGAGATGGAGTTTTGCCCTGTGGAATGCAGTGGCAATGATCTCGGCTCACTGCAACCTCTGCCTCCAGGGTTCAAATGATTCTCCTGCCTCAGCCTCCCCAGTAGCTGGGATTACAGGCACACGCCACCACACCCAGCTAATTTTTGTATCTTTAGTACAGACGGGGTTTCACCATGTTGGTCAGGCTGGTCTTGAACTCTTGACCTTGTGATCCACCCACTTCGGCCTACCAAAGTGCTGGGATTACAGGCGTGAGCCACCGTGCCCGGCCAAGAATGGCTTTTAAGCTTTTAAATGTTTGAAGAAAAAAAAAAACTAAAGAAAAATTTTTCATATGGAAATAACATGAAATTCAAATTTCAGTGCCTATAAAGTTTTATAGAAACATAGCCCTACTTATTTATTTGCCGATGGGGCATGGCTGCTACTACAAAGGCAGAGTTCAGTAGGTGCTTCAAAGATTGTATGTTGCAGAAAGCTTACCATCTGGCCCATTGCAGAAACAATTCATCAACCCCTGTTGTACTATAATCATTACCACATAACTGCTTTCATTACCTTCAAGTCCTTACTATGACCTAAAATTCTAGTGTATTGTCTTCATTTAATTATTCTTCCCAACTAAAACATAAATTACAAGAGACCAAGGGCTTTGCCTGGCTCTGCCTCTGCTGTATCCCCTGTGCCAAGCACAATGCCTGAAACACATTGGGTGCTCAGTAAGTGCCTGAATAAAAGAACGGTGCAGGTGGAAGGCAAGCAACTAGGCTTAAGGACCACTGGGGGCTGCATCAGCTGCCACTGCCTAAAAGGCAGGGGTCCAGGAAGCTTGCTAAGTGCCAGGAACCACGCCCTCCACCAATTTTTCAAGACCTTGCTCACCTGAAGAGTCTTCATCCACATTCTCGTACTGCAGAAGTCGGTCTAGGAGGAAACTGAGGAGAGGGAAGGAGAGACGGACAGTGATTTCCCAGCGCAGCAATGTCCCCCTGGGCCCCTGACCCTCCCAGCAGGCCCATCGGATCCTTGAAAGAGCCCATGCACTTGTGGCCCTACTCGGGGATGGGGTCCCAATGTAGACTGCCTAGGAACCACATCGCCCTCCGCCCCTGCAACGTGCATCACCTCTTGTCCCGGGACACCTTCAGTAATTTCCTTTGCGCTTTCCTCAGCTCCTCCTGGAAGCACTCGTGCTCCTGTATCACGGGCAAGGGGTGCGCTGGGCCAACGGTCCTCCGTGAAGGGCCCCGGAACCGGCAGCCGCTCGCCCCACCCACTTTACACCTGAGTAAACTGAGATTTTGTCCGCGCCAGGCCTCCCCCCTCTACAGCCTTCCCGCGGCAGCACTCACGTAGATGAGGAACTTGAGCTTCCGTTTCAGATTCCGGTATTTCTTTTTGTAGTCCACTTCACCGTCCGCCGGCCCGTTCATGACCGGCCCGGCAGTGGCGCCCAGCTTCTGCAGTCCCGCTACCCCAAGCAGGCGCTACCCCGTCGCTCACGCCTCCACTTCCGGAGACTCTGCAAGGCTGTGCCACCGGGACTACAACTCCCGGCGTACCGGGCGCCCAGGCGGCGTCACCGCACGGGCCGCCCTGCCGAGGAATACTGGGAAAGGAGCGCGGTGGCGAGTGGCTGCGTCTGGGGATGGCGCAGCAGTGACGCGGTGACGCCACAAAAATGGCGGACGCTGGAGGGCGCCGTTCCTGACTCTAATGTGCTTAGACACTTGAAGCCACAAAAGGATTTTCCCCCGAGGTTCCTCGTCTCCTCGCGAGGATGCCTCTTCTCTTCTGCCTTGCGAAATAATAGCGGCCTAGCTGGTGCCCGTGACCACGAAGGAAGGCAGAGTCGCGGGCTGATTACGTTTCACCCAACGGTTGCCGGCGCCGAATTGGTTTCTAACGAGAAATTTAAAAATGATTCGTTCCAAGAAAGGGTAGGATCCGCGAGACCCTCCAACTGCCCAAGGAAAACAAGTCTCGTCTGGCAAAGTTATCGGCCCACGCGGTCCGCGGCCAAGGGCCAACGGTCCTTAGCCCCACGGTGCCGCAGCACTGCGCGTGCGCGAACCGCTGTCAAACGCGCTGACGGAGGCCGAGAAGAAAAAAAGGCGGGAGCCGCCAATCCCGGGTTGAGCAAAATGGCGCGGGAGAAGGAGATGCAGGAGTTCACCCGTAGCTTCTTCCGAGGCCGCCCGGACCTCAGGTGCCCAGGGAGTTGGAGATGGGGTTGGAAAGGGCGCGGGTGGGACGGGACTCCGTCCTGACACCCTGTCCCCGCAGCACGCTCACGCATTCCATCGTGCGGCGGAGGTACCTGGCTCACTCGGGCCGCGACCACCTGGAGCCAGAGGAGAAGCAGGCACTGAAGCGGCTGGTGGAGGAGGAGCTGCTGAAGATGCAGGTGTGCCGGGCCGGAGCCTGGGCCGCGGGAGGCGGAGGCGGGGCTTGCTGCCGAGGAGGAGGGGCTGACGGGGCGCGGTGAACGCCGCCTTGGTGCATAGTTCGCCCTCTTGGCGCACACACAGGTGGATGAAGCCGCTTCCAGGGAGGACAAACTGGACCTTACCAAGAAGGGCAAGAGGCCTCCCACCCCTTGTAGCGACCCGGAGAGAAAAAGGTTCCGCTTCAATTCAGAGTCGGGTTAGTGCTTCCTACCTGCTATGGGGGACTTCTGCATCGTTGGTTCACTCAAGAAGCGTTCACTGTGCATCTCTTATGTCCCCAGGCGTTAAATGAGGGAGCGAGGCCAGTGAGTCAGGAACCGGGAACAGCGAAGACAGATAGCTGTTTCCTGCTGCCCCTCCAACTGTCAGGGCAGGGCTCGAGACAACCTATCCGAAGTGAAGGGAGAAGGGACAGGAGAAGCCTGTCTCAACCCTCTCTCCTCTCCATATTCCAGAGTCCGGCTCTGAAGCCTCCAGCCCAGACTACTTTGGACCCCCAGCAAAGAATGGGGTGGCAGCAGAAGTCAGCCCAGCCAAGGAGGAGAATCCAAGGCGAGCCTCAAAGAAGGCAGTTGAGGAGAGCAGTGATGAGGAACTGCAGAGGGACCTGCCTGCACAGAGGGGAGAGGAGAGCAGTGAGGAGGAGGAAAAGGGGGACAAGAGGAAGAAACCTGTGGCAAAGAAGCAGGCACCAGGCAACGCCTCAGTCAGTAGGAAGCAGGCCAGGGAAGAAAGCGAGGAGAGCGAGGAAGAACCCGTTCAGAGGACAGCAAAGAAGGTGGAGGGAAATAAAGGAACTAAAAGCCTGAAGGAAAGTGAACAGCTGAGTGAAGAAGAGGAGGAGATCCTAGCTGGGAAGAAAGAGCACAGAGGGGAGGAAGAGAAAGAAGGGGAGAAGGAAAAGGAGGATTGGAAACCCAGAGCCAGGAGCAATGGCGGGAGAAAGTCAGCTAGGGAGGAGAGGAGCTGTAAGCCGAAAAGCCAGGCAGAGAGGCTCATGGGAGACTCAGACATCGAGGAAGAGCAGAAAGAGGCAGCAGGCAGTGGGGATGACAGTGGGAGAGATGGAGAACCCCCAGTGCAGAAGAGGAGCAAGGACAGGACCCAGCTTAAGGATGGGAAGGGGTTGAGTGGAAGCAGCGAGGATGAGGAAGACAGTGGGAAGGGGGAACCCACAGCTAAAGGCTCTAGAAAGACGGCCACACTGCGCAGCACCAGTGGTGAGGAGAGTGACTTGGAGAGGGAAGTGAGTGACATCGAGGCAGGGGGCGGCCCCCAGGGGGAGAGGAAGAACCGCTCTTCCAAGAAGAGCTCCAGGAAAGGCAGGACACGGAGCTCCTCTTCCTCCTCAGACGGAAGTCCAGAGGCCAAAGGAGGGAAGGTGAGGGTGAGGCGGGGTGGGAGGCCACCATTAGGTAAGAGGGAGACCCTGCCTCAGGCCCAGCAGGCTTCGCCTTCAGCTGCTGTCTTTCCTTGCTAGGCTGGCTCAGATCGCCGTGGAGAGGACCACCCAGCTGTGATGAGGCTAAAGCGCTACATTCGGGCCTGTGGTGCCCATCGAAACTACAAGAAGCTGTTGGGCTCCTGTTGCTCACACAAGGAGCGCCTAAGTATCCTCCGGGCAGAACTGGAAGCCCTAGGCATGAAAGGTGAGGCCCGGCGTGCCCTAGGGGCTGTAGTAGAGGGCCTTGCTGCTGGGGAGGAGAGGATCACCAGCTTCTTCTGCCCCAGGTACCCCTTCCCTAGAGAAGTGTCGGGCCCTGAAAGAGCAGAGGGAGGAGGCAGCTGAGGTAGCCTCCTTGGATGTTGCGAACATCATCAGTGGCTCGGGTAAGGGATTTCCTCTCACTGCCCGGGAGCAGATAGGTGAGGTTGGACATTCTCGGGTATCTGATCTCTCATTTCCCCTTTCCCCTAGGCCGGCCACGCAGACGTACAGCCTGGAACCCTTTAGGAGAAGCAGCACCCCCAGGGGAGCTGTACCGTCGGACCCTGGACTCAGACGAAGAGCGGCCCCGTCCCGCACCCCCGGACTGGTCACATATGCGTGGCATCATCAGCAGTGATGGCGAGAGTAACTGAGCTCTGCCACCCTCAGGAAGGACCCTTGATCCATGTACAAAGCATACATAGCACCCCTTGCCCGGTGTCTGTGGAACAGAAGCAGCTTTCTTCAGAGAAGACTGCCGTTCCCGAGGACACAAGCTGTTGGGATGCTACTTCTCAGCTTCACACTCTCCATTTAAGGTGTTTATTTTTTAAGACTCAATAAAGGAGTGTTCGTAATCACCTCATCAAATCTGGTCCCCCATTCTCACCTCCTGTATTTTGGGCCAGGAAACTGAGGAGTCACTGCCTCCACCTCCTCCCCTGGCGTGGTTCCCTTTAATTTCCCCTGGGTTCCTGGAAGAAGTCCCTGCCTCCAGACCCTGTCATCCAACAGCCACCAGACCCATTGGAGAAGGGTGTGTGGCTCCTGTGCTGCCAGCCTGCCCAGTGGCCCCTCTGCTTTTAGCCTGGCCTGATAACCTAATGCCCACTTGGGAGGGGGATAGAATGACTTGAGGGCAGCCGGTGCTTAAGCCTTCCCCCTTCTTCTGCAAACAGCCACTTTGTCCAGGGGCTGTTAGCCTCGAAGGGGTGGGGAAAAGCCCTGACCTCCTGGGCCAGTCCCAGCCTTCTAGGCCTCTGGCTACAGGCCGAGCCTGTGCAGTCACATGAGGTCTCCACTGAACTCTGGCTGCTGAGCCTTGCGGGAAGATGTGAGCATGGAGCTGCCTGGGGTCTGTGTGGAAAGCAAACCTAAGAATCTTTGAAGCCAAAGCAAAGCAAACAGGAATTAGAGATCAAGGGGTTGAAGACCACCTTTAAGATCTGATCTGGTCACACCTGAAGTCATTAAAATCACTGAAATGTTTAGATACACAGCCCAATAAATTCTCTTTTTTAAAAAAGTACAAGCAGTACTATTCACTGGCCACTGAGCAAGTCCTTCACGCACACCAAAGACAAAGGGTGAATCCTGAGGTCTGTTAGAATAACCAACAGTTTATTAAAAGCTTGCCTGGGGCTCTGTGCCAGCCCCACAGCTGAGAGGGGCTCCCACGACTGCCCCTAGGCCCAGGAGCAGACCATTCCCCAAGGTCCTTCCCTTGTTTCCCCGCCCCAGCCCTGATCCCAATTAAAAAAAAAAAAAAGGACAAGACGGCACAGGACGTCAGACAGTAACAGGGGAATGGGGAGACCCAGGCATCCTGACCCCAAGACCCCATCCTGATCCTTCTTGCCAGTAAGGTGGCCTCTCATTCTCCCCACCTCAGGCCCCAGATCTGCTCTGCCCCGTGGCAGGTCTGAGGGCCCCACTGTGAGGGTAGTATAGTTCTCTGAATATAGTATGTCTAGACCCACCCTTCCCCTCCCCCAGGGGACTAGATGAATATTTGACACGCACATCTCCCTCCTTTCCCAGGTGGCGGAGGGAGACCCTGGCACCATGGTGGGGAGGCGGGGCTCCCAGGCAGCCTTGAGGCACCTATCCTCAAGCTAGCCCTGGGCCACTGGCCAGCCCCAAGAAGCTCATGAGATGAGGTGTGAGGGGAGCTGGAGCCAACATCCTGTCCTCTACCCTTGCGGGGGCCTCCAGCTCAGTGCCCTCCAGTGTCAGGCTCCACCCACCCCTGCCCTGCCCAGCTTATCTGCTCCTCCCCACTGCACTTCAGGAATAGAAGTGGGAAGAACCATTGAGGATGTGGGAAGCAACACTGGTGCTGCGACTCAGAGGCCCGGGCACCGCGGCAGCAGGGGGGCCCACGTTCTCACTGCCACTGCCCCCCGAGGCTGCCCGCCGCAGGGGCTGGGGGCTGTTTCTTAGCAGCAGCAGGGCTCCGCCACGGGGTGTCCCACTCTGTGTGGGGGGCCCCAGCCAGTTTGGGGGGCCTGGGGGAGCCAGCAGAGACGGCTGACGCCAGGCTGGAGGGGGCATGCCTGGTGGAGGAGGGCCGTGACTCCAGTGTGCCCCGGAACGGGGAACGGGACGGGAGGGCCAGGCTGGGGCAGGGGGTGGAGCAGGATAGCCCTGGGCAGCAGCCTCGGCTGGGATGCCCCCCAGAGCCATGCTGGAGAAGCCCAGCCTCATGCTTTCCGCATCAAAGGCCTCGATCTCACGGGCCTGCCGCTCAAGCAGACTCCGGATTCGCTCAGAGCGCCCTGTCTGCAGGGCCAGCAGCTCCTCTTCCACCTGGGGCATCCGGAACAGAGGTTAGAGTCAGGGGCGGGAGCCTACTCTCCCTCCCCAGTCCTGGAGGCTGGGCCCCTTACCCGCTGCTCCAGCAGTGCCCGCCGCAGCGCGACCCTCTGCTCCAGCTCCCGCAGTTCCCTCTCATGCTGGCTTTCTGTGCGGATCTTGATCTTGCTCTGGTAAGCGTTGAGCAGCTCCAGCTCCTGTTGAAGCTGCTGCCGAAGGGCCTGGAACTCTGCCTCCTGGGTCTCATCAAGTCGTAGCTGGGGAAGATGAACAACCAGTTGTAGGAATCTCCTCCCCCACCCCCACTATCCTCCCCTGCCCCAGGTAGGGCTGGGCCCTAAGGTTTCAAGAAGCAGTGGTCTCAACATCTATCAGAATGGAAGATGGTCATACCCTGTGGCACAGCAATTACACTGCAGAATCTATCCCCCACGTATACTTGCACATGTGCTCGAGGTGTTCACGGAAGCATTGTGATAGCAAAATACTGGAAACAACCTAAATGTCCACCAATAAGGGATGGGTTAAATAAATTATGGTGCAGCCATATTGTGGAAAATTCTACGCTGTAAAAAAAATGAGACAGGAGTACTGACAAGGGAAGATGTCCAAGAAGTATTAAGTGGAAAAAGGAAGTTAGAGAATAGTAAATGTAAAGTATGATTCCATCTGTGTTTAAAATTCATATATTTTTTCAAAATGTGCACTGAAAAAATACAAAATACAGTTAATTATTAACAAGTTGCCCGGGAGAGGTGGGACTGGGTGAGAGAACGGCCTTGGGTGGGGCGTTTCCACTCTCTACCCTCTCTGCACATTTTAAGTGGCCCATTCCAGTGTTAGGTGTGATCATTTTTTTAGAACAGCAACTTTCAAAATCCTCCAGAAGTCTGAGTAAATGGGCTTGAGGGCCACACTGACTTTAATCTGCACCCTGTTTATCCATTAAACTAACTCAGTCAGGGCCAGGAAAAAATAATAGCCACTCTTTTTCTTGGTGGTTCTTGGGAATAGGCACATGGCTTTGTCAAGACCTTAAGAAAATACTAAGAGAAAGAATAAAATCACTGAGGAGAATATGAAATAAATCATTGTGGAGAACATGAACAGAGGGAGAGTATGTGAGTTTCCCAAGTACAAAAGCCCTTGCTCTGTGCATGCCCTGCACCGTCCAATTCTCTAAAGCGAAGTACAGAGCCCGGCCTCTAGCGCACTCCCTCCCTGGACCCCAGGCCTCACCGCCTGTGAGCTGAGCATCTCTGAGATGGACTGGTCATACTGCTCGGCCAAGATCGCCAGCTTGCGGGTCTGCTCTTCCTTGAGCCGCTTAAGGAGGCTCTTGTGCTGAGCTTTGGGCGTGGTCTCCAGCAAGTGTGCTCGCAGAGCCTTGTACTGCCGAGTCTGGATCTTACACGTCTCCTGGAACTGCTTCTTGATCTGCAGCTCCTTAGACTATGCAGTGGACGGATCAAGGGGAGATGGGGGCAGCGGGGAAGAGGAGGAGGAAAAGGAGGAGGAGGAGGAACAACCAGGGAAAATGGGGAGAAGAGAGAGAAGAGGAGAGGAGACAGAAGCAGAGACAGGGAGAGGGAGAGAAACAGAAAACATGTTAGACAGAGGGGGTGGGGGGAGCTGTATACAGACAGACATGGAGAGGTGGGATCATGTTGAGAGAGATCAGGAAGGTCTCGATGGGCAAGAGATGCAGAGAAGACAAGAGGTTCCAAAGCACGTGCACGGAGTTGGGTGGGTGGGATACCCACGAGAAAACATCGGAGTTACTGGACAGGGAACTGAGGATCTTGGAAGCTCTGACCAGGCAAAGAGGGAGAGACTGTGACCTAGAGATAGAAGCACGTGAGCAAATATGAGAACGTGCACAAGAACAAGCGAGAAGAACCAGTCACACAAAACACCCGTGAAGAAAAAGCAACACAACTAAGGACAGACACAGGAAGTCCCAGGTCCAGCAGCTCAGGGAGGAAGGCAGGGAAGGAGGAGAAGCATCGAGCTGAGATATGGGTAAGAAGGGGCTGCCCCATTTTGGGCCACAGAGGAGAAAGGGGCAAAGGAGGTGGCCAGAAAGGGCCTGACAAGTTCAACCGGCCAGCAGCTGCCACCCTGACCAGATCCACATTCCAGCCCGGCCCCTCACACACTCAGCTCCCACTCCAGGCCCACACCCAATCCTGCTGCCACAGCCCTCATACTCCGCCTGGTTGCCCCCAGTTCAGCACCCCCTACTGTGGAGGGTCTGCAGCCCCGTCCCCCAACCCACTAGGGTAATGCCTCATGCAGGAGAGCAATTTGGCCCCCTGTAGCCGGGTACCATGGAGGGAACGGGTTGGGAGAAAATGCAGGGCATGAGGAGACCAAGGGCCTGGAAACTAAGACCTATGGAAGGAACCCGCAAACAGGGGCTCTGAGGGACCAACAAGTTCGGTGAAGTTCTACAGGGGCCCAGACCCCAGAGCCGGTGGTGGTCATGGTGCAATGAAGCTATGAAGGCAGAGAGCATGAGGCTGAGTAGTGAGAGGGGCTGAGATAACGGAGATGGGGTGAAGAGGTCATGGAGCCGGGCCGAGGGTCAGCCTGGGGGCATACCGGGGAGGCTAGGCGGCAGGACAAAGCAGACAGAGGCAGCCTGGGCCAAAGGCACAGTTCCGCTCAGATATTTTATTTGTGTTTGTCTTTTTCTTTTTTTGGTGGGGGGAAGGGGACAGGTTGGAAGGGAGACAGAAAAACAAAATCAAAGAGGAGAAAAAAAAACATGACTCTTCCCACCCTCCACCACCCCTGGCCCCAGGTCTGAGTCAATGAAGGTGAGGATGAGCACACACAGCCAGGGAACAGCAATAACTTAGGGGAGGAGCGCCAGGAGAGCACAGAGTGACTGCTGGACTCCACGGCCGAGGAGGCTGCCTGTCTATAGGTCTGAAGGGCTGGGCCTGGGGTGAGTGAGCAAACTGAGGAAGGTGGGTGAAAAGAAAGGACTAAGGACTGGAGAAACTTCACTGAGTCGTGGGAGATAAAGTGCTCAATGCTCTAGATTTGGGCTGGAAGGATTGTAGTCAGCTACCTCCAGGGAGGCAGGGCCCGGGACTGGCGGGTGCGGGATCTCCGCCCGGCTAGAGTCCCTGGCAGTGGCTGGTGGGAGGCAGGGGGCCCTAGCTGGCGCTGGCTGCGTGGTAGTAGCCGGGGGATTCGGGTGGGCCGTTCACCCCGAAGCAGGCCCCAGCTGGCCAGTGTGTGGATGGCCCATGGGGGCAAGTGGGATGCTAAACCCCGGCTGGCCCGTGCCAGACGCCAGTTCCAGCCCTTGCACAGGGCCCAGACCTTTGCCAACAAGGCTAATGGGTGTTGGGTGGTGCGGGGATTACGCCGCCGGGGCCCAGGGATGGGCAGGCGGCTGCGGAAGCCATCCTTGTTGGTTTTGGGGTAGAGTGCAAACAGACCCCGGTCCCCCACAGCCCCACAGCCCTGCAGGGCCCGGAAGGCCATGGGTGACAGGCGCAATAGAACCCGCAACCAGAGTCGAGATATGCCCCGGCGCACCCGGGGGCCCTGCTGCCGCGCCCATCTGCCCCCCGCTGCCATAGCCACCAGAGGTAGAGCCAGGCCTGGCCAAGCTAGGAGCCAGGCAGCTCCAAGGCCCAGGGGAACACCCATGAGGCCTCGGCGCCAGCTCAGGCCCAGGACGGCCCCCAGTGCGGTACCCTGGGCCAGGAGTAGGAAAAGACTGGAGGGCAGGTGCAGGGCTGTACAAAGGAGCAGGTAGGAGGCCCCCAGCCCCACCAGCCCCACCTCAAGGGCCAGCAGCGCTGCCTGCAGGCCACCCCCACCCTGGGCTGCCAGCAATGGAAGCAGCAGCAGCAGCAGGAGGGGCAGGAGGCCAGAGGAGGACCCCACCGCAAAGGAGAGGCCGGCCAGGAGGCCATGGGACAGGAGTCCGGGGAGCTGGCTGGCAGGGCCGGGCCTCAGGTGTGTTGGAGGGGGTTCAGGAGGGATGTCGGGGGAAGGACAACCATCTCCAGGATCCCTAGGGGTCCCAATCGGAGCCCCCTGTTCCTCTTCTTCCTCCTCCTCGGGGACTGGAGTCAGTGCTGGGCCCTGGACCCAGCCAAGCTCAAACTCCTCATCCAGAAGACTCCCATCCTCCTTCCCCCACAAGCTCCACGTCCCAGCCTCCTCCTGGCCAACAATGCTCCTCTCCTGGGGTACAAGGAAGGGCACCCGAAGCTCCTCTATCTCCTCCTCAGGCAGACCCCAAACTTCCTCATCAACCAGGCTCCCATGTTTTTGTGGACTGGGACTAGAGGCTCCTGATTCTTCCCCCAGAATCCTCTGCTGCTTGGGCTCCAAAGCGGCCCCTTCCTTTCCCAGAATCCTTCTCTCTCCAACTGCTTCCTCCTCCTTGCCCAGCATTCTTTGGTACAGGACTGCCTCCTGGCCAGGTGAGCAGGGCTGCTCTTCTATAGGGGTGCCTGTGCTAGGTGGGTCCAGAGCCCCAGGAATGGGAAGTGGGAGGCCCGGGGGGCGCTGGCCTGCACGTACTTTGAGGCTCTTGGGCTGCTGGCGAACCTGGGCCGCGTGCTTCTGCCGCAACTCTTGCTCACGCCGCTTGTTGTACTCCAGCTGGTTGCCCAGCTCCGTCTGGTGCTGCAGGCGGGTGAGCTCAGCCCGCGTGCGCTGCACAGCCTGGAGCTGCCGCAGCTCCAGCTCCCGCGTGGCCTCGTGCTGCCGAAGCAGCAGTGCACACTCCAAGTCTTTCTGGGTCTGCTTCTTGTTCAGGTCCTGAGGCAGAAGAAATGCAGGGCCCGGGGCCTGGTCAGTATCAACAAAGTGAGGGGCCAGGGCTCCTTGGCAGAGGGAGCTGGGGATGGCAGGATATGAGGGTGTAGGGGAGGCAAGCTCCTGCCTGTCTTGGGAACAGAGAGGCCTACGGAAATTCTGGCAGGATCTGTTGGGAATAAGAAGTAAAAGGGGCACTGAAGTAAAGATGAACTGTAACACTCGAGGGCCAAGGGGAAAGAAGACAAGAATGAGGCCAATGGAAAAGGGTGGGTCCCTGGGATCCATGAGTGAGTGGGAGGAGAAAGGAGACTGGGATGCCTACCTCCCGCAGCAGGTCCTGGTCCAGGCTGTGCCGAGCCAGCAACATCTTGCGCTTGTACTGGCGACACTGCAGCTCAAAGTACTGGCGCTGCCGCCGCAGCAGCCCTGCCTCCTCCTCCGCCTGGCACTGCTGGAGCTGCTCCTTCTGCCGCAGCAGCCACTCGGCCTTCTCCCGCTTGGGAGTGCTGGGGTTCTCTTGGAGCTCCTGGGCGAGGGCAGAGGGGAGCAGGGTCAGGGCCCACCTGGCCTGCCACTGGTCCCACCCCCGAGCAGCCCTAGCTCACCTCCTTCAGCTGTTCCTTGCGAAGTTTGTAGGTCCGCTTCTGCGCCTCCAGCAAAGCAGCCAGCTCCTTCTTCTGTTGACCAAGGATGTGCTGCTGGAACTTCCGCTCTTCGGCCTGGGCAGCTCGCGCCTCCTTCTCACCGATGGCCTGGTGCCGCCGGGCCAGCTTTTCTGCCTCCGCCCCAAAGCCAGCCCGCTGCGCCTCAAGCTCCCGCTGCAGCCGTGCACTGTGCTCCTCCCGTTCACCCCTCAGACGCGACTCCAGGGCCAGCAGCTGCTTCTGGTGCTGTCGTCGCATCCGCTTATAACCACTCAGCTGCTCCCGCAGTGCAGAGTCCTGCTCATGCTCCTGGATCTGACGGCTAACCTGGGGCAGGAGAGAGGGTGAGAGCTGGGGCTCAGCCTGGCCCCTAGTTAATTAACACAAAGGGTCTTCCATGGGGAAGAACATGGGTTTTCAACTCATAAGTTTCATTCTCATTTAGCACTTTCCTCACACACAGCCTCTCTAGCCTGTTTCCTCAACTGGATAATGGTAGTATTATCTACCTCACAAGTTGGTGTGACTGAATGACAAAAGGTGGCAAGCACAGGGCCTGGCACAAAAGTAGGAACAATCCATACTAATTTGAAACAGTGAGTCAGACAGACCTAGGATCAAATCCCAGCTTTGCCACTGACCAATCATGTGATCTCAAGTAAGTTAACTTCTCAAAGCACCAGTTCCCTCATCTGTTAAACGGGGAAATAATACCTCCTCATAGGGGCTGTGGGGTAAGTTCAGACTCTATCTAATAAGTGTTGGCTTCCTTCCCTTTTAGCAAACATGGTGGGCCTATCACTCCCCAGGTATTGAGCTGGGATCGGGGCCACAAGATGCTGGAATAACAAGAACACTGGGCTTGGACACCTTCATCCAAAGTCTCATCTCAGGTCTCAATCTCAATTGACTCTATGTGTGGCTCTTAAACTAGTCCTGGCAGCCAAGCCCCTGGCAGTCAAGACCTCTCTGCACAGTACCGCAAAACACCATGGGATCTGAAGAGTTGTTGGAACACAACCAGCCCCAAGCAGAGGCCGTAAGAACATACTAGACTGAATCAGTGGCCTCTAAGGGGATTGCTGACACTCAAATGCAGCTGAGCAGGAATGTGATCTAAAGGCTTATTAAAAACATGGATGAAAAGCTATGGGTTTTTTTTTGGTTTTTTTTGAGACGGAGTCTCGCTCTGTCGCCCAGGCTGGAGTGCAGTGGCCGGATCTCAGCTCACTGCAAGCTCCGCCTCCCGGTTTACGCCATTCTCCTGCCTCAGCCTCCCGAGTAGCTGGGACTACAGGCGCCTGTCACCTCGCCCGGCTATTTTTTTTTTTTTTTTTTTTTTTTGTATTTTGTAGTAGAGACGGGGTTTCACCGTGTTAGCCAGGATGGTCTCGATCTCCTGACCTCATGATCTGCCCATCTCAGCCTCCCAAAGTGCTGGGATTACAGGCTTGAGCCACCGCGCCCGGCCGAAAAGCTATGTTTTATGATAAGCCTAACCTGTGAACTGAGAAAAAGATTGCCATGAGTTGATTTTAGGAGAGGACTAAGGGCCTGCTTATAGGAGTGGAGAGCCACCAAAGGCACTGGGGCAAGTGGCCCCTCTGAGCCACAGGTGCCTCATTTCTCCAATGGGATCCTACCCTCCCCCTCCCAGGGCAGCTGGGAGGGTTAACATAGGCCTGTGTGTAAGCCTGAGAGTTAACTGCTGGCATGAGACAGACACCTGAACACCATCCCTGCCCTCTGGGGCACAGAATCTGGCAAACCTATCATGATGCTGTTCAGGACCACCCAAGCATAGGACACCCCCGGCACTGGACACCCCCGGCACAGGGCTCCACAGGCACAGGCTCCCCCCGCACTGGGCTCCCCCAGCACACAACTGTGAAGCACCTGACTTGCCAGAGGAGCCTGGGCAGGCAACCCAGGAGATGTCAGTTAGGTCAGGCCACGAAAATGGAGTAAGAGTTTGCCAAGCTAGAAACACCCAGATTGGGCCATGTGACCAAAACAGTCCACTGGGAAGAGGAGGGAAGCTGGAGGGTTAAGGGGAGCAGGCAGGAGCCAGCAACAGAAAATGAGGGTAGAATTCGGACTCGATACCATGCCACAGGGAGGAAATCATTTCTAGACTTAAAAAGACTTAAAAAACAGACAGCAAGCAGGATGAGTGAGGATGGCTACACTCACCAGGGAGGCAGTTCGGATGGTGGCAAAGTGGTCCCGGTTTCGGCAGTAGGCCCGGCGGCGGGCGGAAGAGGTGGTGGAGGTGGGAGCTGGGGCTGCAGGCGGCTGGAGAGGGCTGGGGGTTATCTCTGGCTGGTAGGGGTCATCATACAGATTGTCAGAGCCCTAGAGGGAGACAGAAGGAACACCCAAGGCTCAGAGGCCTCTGGGTCCAAAGAGAGTGACCTGAGGAGAGCCACTCAGACTCAGAGGAGTGCTGTGCTTAGGGAGCGAGGGCGAGGACCCAGGCGGTTCTAGAGCAGGTGGCTCGGGCCCCCCAAGGGTGAGCTGTGTACCGGCAGCCGGTGAATAATGGAGCTGTGAGAGGTGACCGTGTGCTCCCCCTCCTGCATCATGGCCATCTCCCGGGCTTCGGGGCCTTCCTCCTCCTCCTCCTCTTCCTCCTCCTCCTCCTCCTCTTCCTCGTTGTCTGAGGCATCTGCTAGGCTGTTGACAGAGCTGCTCTGGCTGGAGGCGCTGATGGACATGCTGGGCACTGAGTGGCTACTCTCGAGACTGGTCAGAGTCCCGGCCCGGTGCATGTAGGGCTCAGCCTCCTGCAAATAGGGCATAGGCTGCTGGGCAGGGAAGGGGAAGCCCTGGGGCATATGCATGGAGGTAGCATGGGGAGATGGTGGTGTGAGTAGGGCTGGGGAAGGGACCAAGCAGCTGCAGGGGGTAGGCACACATGGGGCATAAAGAGGGGTGTCAGGGCAAGCTGGGTCACCTCTTCCTCTTCTGGGGCCTCAGCACCAGGGCCGTTGGGTGCCTCTTGGAATAGGATCTTCTTCATCTTGCGGTACTGCAGGTTGTCCAGCTCCCGCACGGCATCCTTGGTCCTCTGGATCAGGTCCATAATGACTGTGGGTGGCCGCTCCCGGAGCACAAAGCGGTGCTGGGGGAAGAGGACACTGAGGCCTGCTGCCAACTCCCCTTCCCCCTACAACCCACAGCCCTTGGCATTCCCTCCAGCCTGAGGCACTCTTCTGGGGCCCACGCCCACCATGGGTTGATGCTGGCCTTGTCCCAAGCCCTTCTCCCACAATAATTTTCTGTACCACCCAGTACCTACTCCCCAGACTCTTCTTCCTCTAAGCATGGCTGACAGGTAGGAACAGTCAGGAGATCTGGATTCTTGTCCAGCTCCTCTACTAAAGGGCTATGTGACCTTGGACATGTCATGAGGCCCCTCTGGGCTTCATACAGTATCCTACAATTATAAAACAAGTAGATCCAACTACATAATCTGAAGTTTCCAACTAAGGCTCCTCAGGTCCCTATGGATCTGTGAAGGGAATGGGGCCCCTCTATTTTTGATAATTCAAAAAACACCTAAGGGAAATCATACATTTACCCATGATAAGGCTACACAGGCTTTTGGCTTGCATTACATCAGATCAGTGGGGCAACCCTGGTTATCGCACGCTGACCAGAAGCTCTGGCTGGCAATTATATAAATCTTTGATTAATAAAAGATGGGAAAACAGATTATTACTTAATAAATTAAGGCAGTCTCATAGACAAAATCTCGTAAAACACAGAGTCCACTGGGCATTGGGGATGGGGTGGGAATTCATCAACGAAGCTCTTCGTGGAGGCGGAACTAGGAACCACTAATTTCCCTAGGGGTTCTTGTGGCTTTAACAAGCTAAAGTTCCAAGAGAATGCTAGGCCAGCAGGCCCTCACCTTCAGGAGGACCTCTGAGGTTGGTCTGTCTTGAGGGATTTTCTGAAGACAAGAGTCGACAAAATTCCGGAAGTACTCAGACCTGAAAGTCACAGGGGGTGGGAGAGGGGTGGGGAAGGCATGAGCCAGGCATCTGTACCCCATGGCCTAACCCCGGGGCCCAGATTCGGAATCTCAGTCCTCACCAGTGTCCTGACTGGAGCACGGGGGATTCGTTCTGTGCAATGTGGTATAAGGCACTCATCGCATTCATGTTAAACAGCGGTGGTTTCCGTTCCGCTACAGAAAAGGGTGAAAGGGAAGAAGGTGAGAGGTGGCAAGGGGTAGAGGACAATGGAATGGAACTGAGACGACTTGGGTTCAAACCCCAGTTCCTTGATTTCCTTGCCACATGACCTTGAAAAGTTCCCATCATCCTGTTGCATGTCAATTAATTCCTTCCTCTGTAAAATACAACACCCATCCTCTCCACTGCACACAGGTGGAATAGGGGTCAAAGAAAATAACATCCACCAAAGCAGTAATGAAGGCAGAAGGACAGCCATTCAGTTATCAACCCAACTAATACTTCTTAGGTGCCAAAGTGAGCAGATAACTTGATGATTGCTATGGGGAAGATAAAAACAAGAATTAGGCCCTGCCCTGAAGGAACTTTCAGTCTAAAAAAGAAGATTAAATAGGACTGAAAAAATAACATCAAAGTATTAACTGGTGTAAGAGGGAAACACGGAAGTGGCTGGGAAGTTGAGAGTATGCAGTGGGCCTTCAAGCTAGTGTATCTTCAGGGAATTCAGAGAAGGGCTTTGTAAAAAGCCGAGATTAGAAAGGAAAGTGCAAGCTACGAGTCCCCAAGAGTCCCTTGTAGCCCAGACAAATGTCATGTTGTTTTGGCCTAAACGGTGATTTTTAAAATTAACTGCCAATAGTAACAATCAAATAATAATATAAATTTCCAGTTTCTCCTTAGGAATTAGATCTGTTGAAATGGAGTCTACATTACTGCATAACAATGGTCTGAAGATAACATTAGCTGCCCTTTCTATGGAAACAGCAATCTCCAGTTTGCCACAGCCTCTTCCACATTGCTTCCCTGATATTGACTTAGTATGAGTTGACATTTATAATCAGACTTGATTTTTTTTTCAATAGTAGAGTAATATTTCTTAGTATTCACATCTCTTCCAAAAACTAGAAATAAAATGGACAGATCTAGTTTTTTCTTATACTTGGGTCTGTTTCTTACATTTTTCATCAACTATCTGGGCCTGGCATCAAATGGTAAATGGAGACTGTGAAGATGGAGGAAAAGGGCTTGTCCAAATCTCTGACTTCGGGCAGAGGACCCAACACGAACCAAGGCAAGGAAGTGGAAAAGTTCATGACACACTCAGAGCGTGGAGCCCATGAAGGAGAGGGCCAGCCTTTAGGAAACAAAGCCTCTAGGTTGGTGCGAGGAAGGATGGGGATGGTTTCAGTCTTGAAGGCAACAGGAGGCCAATCACGGCTCCCAACAGGGAGTGAAATGACAGCACTGAGCTTATGTAGACCTCTCCGGCATTAGTACTTAAGACACACTGGAAGGGAGAAGAGACTGGAGAGATCATTGCAGGAGGTTGTTGATAAGAGAAACTAACAGCAACTCTTTCTTAGGCAACTATTTTGTGCCTGACATTATGTTGAAAGCTTTATAAAGGTTACCTACCCCATTAAAGAATTGTTTCAATAGTGCTGGCTGACAGAGATGAGAACCTTGGCATGGCCTCAAGGCCTTAGGAACTCACTTGGGCCTAACTCTCTGGCCTTATCCCTCTGGCCTTATTCTCTGCATTACATGCTAGGTTCCAAATAACTGAGGCTAGTCCCAGTTCCCCAGGCCTGCTCTTACCTCTAGGCCTCTCACATGCTGTTCTCTCTGCCTGGAAAGCTCTCCCTGCATTCTGCAAACAGCTATTATTTATCTTGTGGATTGGCTTCAACATTCTGCTACAAGGGCTTCAACATTCTTCTTCAGCCCTTAAACTAGGTCAAGTCCCTTGTTTTACATTTGAACCGCTCCTGTAACTTCTCCACACGGCATTCATCACATTGAAAGAAAACATGCCTGCCTGGTTTCCCTAAATCAAATGTAAGTTCCATGAGGGCAGGATACTCATTCACTGCTATCCCTCCAGAATCACAGTCCATGGCACTACACATGATGGGCACTAAGAAAAGATTTAGAACCAGGATAGTGG